TTCATCATTTAAAGTGGCATCTGCAGTGTTAAGAGGTATGTGATGTCATGTGATGATCACATACAAGGTCTCTGTCAGAACTACATGTGTTAAAAGAGCAAGTGTAAAGAAACAATGGGCAATTATTGGTCAGCCTGATTAGCAAAGATAACTGATCAACATGGGAATTCCTGTGACAACTCTGGCAGCAATGGGAAAACAGTTCAAATGCTCTCAGTAACCTGCATTCAGTCATGTTACATTATCAACAAGTACGATTAGATAGTATTAGTTGACTTAAATGTAGTTAGTATACTAGGGTTGTAAACAAAATTAATTTAGGAATTAGGAGATTAAAATTTCAGATATTGAATATGGCTGCTGTTTATGAGCTGAAAATTAATCTTACTGGGATCACAATACAATTAGTGTTATTGCACTATAGCTAGTGTATGTGTATTGTGAAATACAACTAAGAGAAATTAATGGCTACTTTTGGTTACATAAATTTGTTCCCATTTCTTTAAAAACCTATTATTGCTTTTTGAAATTTGTTCCACATATAATGAAATGTCTCATCTCTAGCATGAATAAAACATATGCTTGAATTTGGTTTGCCCTAGCATTCTCTCTAAAGATTTAAAATGCATCAGTTGTTATCCATATCATTCTTTGATAATGAAGATTATCTATAGGACAATCCTTGTCCCACTTTACTGGGTCATTTGTGTTGAGAAAACTATGGACTTAAAGACTCTTGTTAAAGATTTATTCATGCATGCAAGGACCGGGATCAAACAGGAGAGAAATCTGTTTGCAAACCCAGCATGGTCAAGGCCATGAGTTGTAGTTTCAAAGAGCCACCAGTTAAGACTCCTTTGGGAATTATATATACTGTGTAGTGAGTTCTCTCAGTGCTTGGAGAGTTTTTTCTTATTTAAATCTAGCTTTAAAATATAATGGGTGTCGTTCACAATACACCCATCTTAGATCCTGCCTAACTGCCCTCTACATGCTTACATTCAATGTTTGCATTCTCCTAACTCTTGCTTAGGAAAAAGAAAAGAGCAATAGGCACCTAACTTTTCTTAATCAATAAAAATCACTAAACACCTTAATGAATGACTCACAGCATGACCAGAAATATTTAAAGTAGGAAAGTGTTTAGCAAGTAAGGATAGACTAATCTACATTAGCAACCAAACCCAGGACCCACAGTCTGCCCCAGGGGCAGATGACGTGGCACAGCTCTCAGCTAGACCCACTTCCCTCCAGAACGGGAGAGCTTCGTCCATCTTGTCTGCGAGGAACAGCCCCTGGTCAGGGCCAGTGTCTGGGAGGTTGCTGTGTGGCACAGGTCAAGACAGTGCCAAGGTGCCTGCTACCAGGTTAGGAGAAATTGGCAGTGTCTCTTCTGCCTTGGCTTTCTCTGATTTATTGGTATAGATGGATTCATTAGCTTGTCAAAACTTACTGCCCAGCCAGGATGAGCACTTTTCTACAAATCCTGCTATGCCTCTCATTCCTCGTCTACCTAAGGAGATTTTTCTCTGTTTTTTCTGTATCTCATTATTTTAGGATAGAACTCCCTCAGTTTCTCATGTTAAAGGTGTTCTGCCTTGCCTGGAATAATCAGATATTAATTGAGTAGAAGAAAGGAGGAGAGCCCAGGAATGTGCTTATGTGGTCTAATGTTAAAAACAATTAGGTGGGAGTGGAAAGGCTGAATCCCAGCCTTGTTCCAGTCACTGTTGGAATGGAGTCAGTGCATACGTGGACCAGTTTAATTAAACTGGTACATACTGCATCTCTGGTTGTTTCAGTATGAAGTTCTGTAAGTAGACCATGCCTGAAATTTGCATTAGAGAGGACAAATAAGAAAGTCCACCTGCACAACATGCGTTTGTTATATATACCTGTTTACTTTGGTTAAGTGAGAGAAAACAGAATTTGGTTGAAGGTATGTAAATGCTATTTAGTGTGTATGTATTCATCCTAAATTCAAGCAGTTAAAGCAGCTCCTATATCTTATAACTATTTTCTTTTGCCATGTCACATCTCTCTGTGAATTAATCTACATTCCATAACAATCCAATTAATAAAAACCTATCAATTTTCTGGCAATATGCAGATGTACAAATTACATTAATCAATTCATACTGTTTGAGGTAGGTCTTTCCTGTTCTTACTACGAGAAACATGGAAAATCTTTTACAAGACTGCTTCTGAAGTAGATTCAGCAAATTAGCAAATTGAGAAGATAAATATATTCCTAGAAGAGATCAAGTTTGGCCTGGTGCACATCACGTCACGCTTCTCCAGTTCTTTCAAACCCATTTTTTCCCAATGCTTTATAATCAATGAAAACTTCTGTGTCTATCAAGGTGCTGAGAAGGAAAGAGCAGAAGTGCCGCTGTTCAGGCCCAGCAATTTATTTTCAGAAATGACTGTCTTTTTGTACCGAGGAAATCAGTAGATAGCATTCCCTCTAAACACACAGTATCTTCATCACATTGAAGTATTTTTCTGTGATCGTGTGTAAATAATTAACAATTACATATAAACAAGATACATTTCTGAGTCTTTTAGAGATATTGCTGCATATTGTTTGTAGGCTTGCACAATAGTTCAAATACACTTACAGCAGTTTCTAATTAGTATTTTAAAGATTACCCACACTATAAAACCTCAGTTTAGAATTGAATCTGTGGAAGGTCTTGGAGCACCTACTTTCCTTTAAAGTACATATACCTAAAATGTAAGCCTTCAGGGTCTTCATTCAGTTATTAATTCTTTTAATAAATAAATATTCTGTAGCTATATAAAAATATTTTCTTCTAGCATGCCAGACCTACTAAAATATTGACAGCTCTGAAAAGAAAAATATTTCACCTTGTCAGAACCTACAGAGTAAGCATTCCCATTTCTATCTCACCTTCTATGTCTAGTCCAGCAGATATTTTATTGGATGCTATTTAGAATGAGGTCTGACAATAAGCAGGATCAGGAGAAGAAAAGGTGGTAGTACAACTTTTCTCCAGCAGTCCTACAGCCAACATGTCAACCCTGGAAGCTGAAGACTTGGGTTCCCTTCCTATGGAGGAAATAAAGGCTCCAAATAGTACCTTCCTTTTCTATACAGCGTAAAACATCTTCAACAAAAGAGAGAAAGAATCACTCCTAAATCCCTTCCAGCAAAAACGTGGTACCCTCAGTGTGCCTGAGTTACCCAGCCTGTATCGTGTAGTAGAGCAGAGGCTTTGATTTGTGTTTCCCACACTCAAGCTGAGCACTGTAATCATGGTGTTGGATGAATGGGAAGGACGAGGAACCGGCCCCTGCAGCACCAGTCAAGTTGATGACAGCCAGGTTATCGAGGCCTTTGATTTGTTTGAATAAACAAGGATCTACCTACACTACAAAAATTAGCAGTTTCATTACTGCTGCTGGGCAGAAACAGGAACAATAAAACATCTTAACCAAGATTTTCTAGGAAGGCATTGCTAGGGATCCATCCTTGCCTTACTTACCCAGAACTGCCTCTTTTGCTGTAAAAAAAACCAAAACAAAACAAAAAAACCTGTTTAACACTTTTTCACTAAATGAATATATTTTCTGACCTCAGTTTTTGCAATACACTACTCAGAAATAAAGTCATGTGCTTCAGAGGAGCTTTAGAGAAGAGCCGAACTGAGATCACTGAGGCTGTGCCTGGGCGCACGTGTCCAACAGAGTATGATGTACTGCAGAGTTCAGCCCTCTCTCCTGACCATTTTCAAGTAGAATCAATATTGGGGTTTTTGCCTTAAAATTGTTGCCCTAGTTTAGGACATTATGGCTTCTATAACCCTTTCCATACTTGGTGGGTAGTTAAAAGCAACACTTTGCATCTGCTGAGTGAAGCAATAAGCAATTTGTGTAGAACCTTATAGTATGCATCTCTCGCATCAGCTACCATGCAGATTTTAGGAAATACCTGAATGTATTTCTTAGCAGTACTTATCATCTGTCACCTACTGACATTTTAACATAAAATCTAACAAAAAAATCCTATTTCTTTTGAGAATTACTGCCTGGAATATATTTAACAGTTATAGGAGTAGGTATGGTAAGACAAATTCTTACTGGAAGGAAGCATCTTAGTGCCTCACAGTCCCATGGATAGACTGGGAATTACCTTTATTAAAAATTGCTGAAAAGGAGTCTTAACTGCTTTGGCCATTCTCTGTAATTTTAATTCTGAACATAGATTTAGATGATGACTTTATCAAATAGACATTCAAACTTGAGATGTGAATTTTTAATTGATCAGGTTGTTAGAAAGATTAATATTAAGGGTTTCATTTATATCCGTTTACCAAGCCAATACTGTAGAACAGGATGTTTTACTGAGTTTAGGGCTGGTAATATGTAAAGACTCTCTTGCACACTATTATTTTCATTTTTGGAGTACCAACTCCAATTGCAAATACATTTGTAGCTTTTTGAAACTCTTCTAAGAACATGATCAGTAACATTTGCTAGATATGTGGAGCTAAACTGGCATTTGTTATGAAGAGCTGAGAGTCCTGCTCTTACATGGGATGTTTGTAATTTTAAAGCATTTGAGGGTCCCTAATCAAAAGGAATGACGCTGCAAAGACTTTGATAATTAGGCTTTTTTTTTAAAAAAAAAAAAAAGGAAAGACTCCTATTGATCAAAGAATCTTAGTTTCAACACCAAGAACATGAATGTTTGTCTTGATCAATTTGTGAGGGATTTCCTAAATTCCCTGGAAACCCAACTTGAAAGCATGACTCCAGGCACAGTTCTGAACAACAAATTAGATCATGTAAATAGACTTATCCAATTTCAGTACTTACAGGGCCACTATCCTGTGAATATCTGGGTGCTTCATGATCCTTAGTGTACTTAAATGAATCATTAAATTATTAAGACCACAATTCAAATTATTAGCAATTTGTATAGAAAATTGAAGAAAGCTGATGTACTTATTCCATTTTTGTACTGTGCTTTACAGGTCCTAAAATGGTAGAATTCCACAGTCAGCAATTTCAGATCAACTCAAAGGACGGCAAGCCACTTTTTACAGTGGATGAAAATGAGGTTGTAATTGGCACAGATAAACTTCGAGTCACAGGTTTGTAAGAGTTTAAGTAATACCCAAATAACAGCCACAAGAAAAGCACAATAAAAATGGCATTTTTAAATATGTCATTGTGTGTGAACACAAGTTCTAGTTTTACCTCATTAGGAAATAGAAATCTGAAGATATTCTGACCTATTTCAATAAATAATCAGTAAGAACTTTTAACAGCAAAATAACAATATGTTTATATTAATAGGTATATATGTCTCTATGTCTGTATTTTATTTTAAAGCCATTAGTGATTGGAACTGAACTGGTGCAGTTTTTTTCTGAATTATTTAATGTTTCCAGTGCACACTGTTAACTGAGGCGGAAAAAATTCTAGATATTCCATTTTGAGTTGTATTGAGTTTTATTTGTGAAAACCTTTTAGACTCTCTCTGATATTTTTATATGGGTTTATCTTTCAGAGTGAAAGCCACTGTATTTCTGTTCTGTGTGTAGCACATATGTCACAGGATGGTATTTGTTGTATATTTAAAATGTCATCTGTCAAAAGACAAGTTTGTCTCAGGCTATTTCTGCAAATCACCAAAGTACTCATTTACAAAGTAAGATGTCAAAGTTATCACATGAAAAGCTATTTCCTTTCGTATTACCTGATAAATCCAACCTTCATTTTCCAGGTGTAAGGTTGCCTTAAAATGGTTACATCAAGGTGTGATTTCTCTTTAAGCAGAAGTGTCCATCAAAGAAAATAATGACATTATCCTGTAACTTGTTTTCAATTACATTTTTAATATTTTCAACCTGATTGCAATTATAATGTTTAGCTTTTGCTAATTATTGGTCCTCTGAAATCTTGAGGTCTTAATTTGAATATATTCATATTATTTCACTGTGCAAAACTACAAATGTGTTAGTAACTATACAATTAGTGTTTTACAGCCAAAGTTAAGTTACAATAAATGTGTTAATAAATTTTGTTTATGCCTAAGGGTCTTATCTTAAGTTTTTTACTTTTTAACCTAATTGAAATTACAACTTTGTTTAACCAGGAAACCATATCAAATAATTATTGTTTGCCCAAGGGATGCTAGACTTTAATAGAAAAGCATGTTTAACAAAGATATGAAAAACTGCATAATTGTTAACTGATTTGGAAAAGGTCTATCTCTGCTCAAAGTAAGTAAAAATTCATACACGAGTTGAAATTGTTATGCTAAAACATGTATTCTGACTCGTCCAATACTAATCTTTACACTGCAAGGATAATTGTTTACTTTAGGAGATATTGTAGAAAGACACATTGCCTGTTTCTTTTTTACACTGTAGTACAATTGAATAGCAAATTCATTAAAATCAATGAGGTTATTTCAGTGTAAAATTAATATAAGTGAGAGGAGATTCATGCCTACTTTGCTTCAAATTAATTTATTAAAATTGTGATTTAAATGATACTATTAGCATGAAGGATAAATTAGTAATACTTTGCATACTGAGATAATTTTTTAAACATTTTAGATAGAGAACAAGATCAATGTGAAAGAAATTTTGAAAAGTTCATACCCTAAGAAACAGATTACTTCAGGGTTAAAATACACAAAGAACATTTTGCAGTTTTTTATGTGCAATATAGTGAACTATTTGATTTTGCTTTTAGTTATTTATGTGAATTATGAAAAGCTCAGTAACAATTTGTAAGAAAACCTGACAGTTTTCAACTAAAATACAATGTAACAGAGAGCAAATGTCTGTGATTTACAGTATTTCAGGAAAAATGAAAAAGTCTAAGAGTAAATCCAACCCAACACCTCAGGAATTGTCATTTTCGAACAAGTTGGTATGTTTGACCTCATACTATTTGAGTGAGACATTTCCTGGACCATGTGGTAGAATAAAATAGCGGCAGACTCTTTCTGTTCTCCTAAGAAGAGCAAATGCCTGGGGAAAGCCATGATCAGCAAAGTGTCCCGGACACCCCACACGGTCACAGTCAGGTCTAGATGCCCATGTTCAGACAACTGAACTGAACTGCACCTCCACAGGCAATGCAGCCTAGAGCGTGAAGGAGACACCTAGACCTGGCACATGGAGAGCTCTTCTGCTGACCAAATGCAGTTGTCTACTTTAGGATGAGATCAATGGCTTGCTTGAATATAGTGTCTGAGTTCAGACATGAAAACATAAGCATCCAGTAGTGTTTGAAACACCTTAGGGTGTGTGAGACACCACGTGGTATCATTTTATCTACGGAAGACACTTTGATCATGGCAGCTGGAGGCCAGGCAGAAGGTACAAGGGTATTTTAGATGACAGTAGGTACATACGATTAGGCAACTAAATTCTGCCTCTAGCTCACCTGTGACACCTACATCATAGACACTTAAATTTAAGTGTATGAAACTGAAGTTCAGCTTAACCCTTCATGACAACTAATGCTACCTGAAGGAGCATATACGCCAGTTACATCCTCTTTAGTATTTCAGTAATGACCTGCATCTTCTGCAGACATTTATTATGCTGCTACGGAGATATCGAACATCAGCATTTTGTTCTGGTAGGGTTTTATAGATCCAGTTGCTGACAGGGAAACCCACCCTGTAACAGTGTATTGGCTGGCAAAGAGCTGATTGCTTTATAACTTACAATATGTCATGGCAGGAGTGAAGTCACAGCACTGGCTGGAAACAGAATTCTCATGCACAAATGGCTAGATTCCACGGCTATGAGAGTCCTGTTTTTCACTCTTTTGCCTGCCCTGCAAACTAGAAGGCTGTTCATAGAAGGGAGATATAGGCTGAAGTAAATAAAATTATATACAATTGAAAAATAATTAGCATTTAGCAGGTAAAAAATGGTCTCAACTATTGCACAAAATAATTTCTCTATCATCACTGTTGTATTGGGTAGTATTTTGGTGATGAGTAGGTAAGAAATGAATAGAATGCAGTTGCTTTCCCTCCACTCCTCTTGAAGAAAAGCTGGCAGAGCAGGGCGGGTCAGTACCTTTATGGAGAAGCATATCATATCACCCTTTCTACAGTTTACTACTTGTCCTTCTGCTTGCTTGTCCTTCATAATCTCTTAAAGTATGTGCTGAGTATTGTCAGTAATTTTCTAGTGCTCTGTTCTATGGAAAGGTTTTCAGTTTGAGTAGCTAATGCTGAAGTGCAATGTGAAGATCTGTGTTTAATTTAAACGCTTCTGCTCAGAAGGTAAGTTAAATAGGAGACAATTTGAGGGTATGAATAAACATTCTGTTAGACTTCGAAGAGGCACATAGTCCTTGCTTTATAGGCTGTGAGAGGGTGTTAAAGACCCTTGCTGACTTCAGTCCTCTCATTAAGAAAATTAATACCTTGATCTTCTATACTTTAGGATTAAATTACATTATATTTATAAACAATAGTCTATAAAATAGTAAATATAGTAATATTCATATAATAATTAATGTTACTTCTTTACAGTTTAAAAGATAAGGTAATGAAGACAAGAAATCAAATTAGGGCTATGTTAAAAAAAATTGCCCTGAGGTTATGGTTTTTTAGTGTCATTCTGTTCAAACAATGCTGTTTGATGAAGAATTTTTTTCTCACAGGAAGGCCAGGTTTTATTCTTGCTTAGAGCTGGCAGCTCTAGAATATGTAAATAAGCCTTTTCATTCCCTCTTACACCACCACCACTCTTCTCTCTAGAGCGTTAACACTGGTGTTTCCTGTTGCCTTTCTTCCATTAGCCCCTATTTCCATGCAAGCAATGTTGTCTCTGTTACCATTTACCTGTCTTTATGGAATCATAGAATCATTTAGGTTGGAGAAGACCTTTAAGATCATCAAGTGCAACCATTAACTTAGCACTGCCAAGTCCACCTCTAAACCATGTCCCTAAGCACCACATCTATGCGTCTTTTAAATACCTCCAGGGATGGTGACTCAACCACTTCCTTGGGCAGCTGGTTCCAATGATTGACAACCCTTTCGGTGAAGAAATATTTCCTAAAATCTAATCTAAAACTCCCCTGGCGCAACTTGAGGCAGTTTCCTCTTGTCCTATTACTTGTTACATGGGAGAAGAGACCAACACCCACCTCACTTTCACAGCAGGGTGTCCGTTTTAGGGAGCGGGAGACCTGGGCTGAATTCTCTCCTTGGCCCAGGAGACTTCCACCCTGCAGTCCCACCTCCCAGGACAGTGCTCTGTAATGCCATACAAAATGTTAGGTGCCCAGCATGAGGGGACAGGTGGGAGCAAGCACTTTTGATATCTGCCAGCAAAGTGAAGCTCGGCCTCTGGCTACAAGCTGTCTCTTTCATGGTTCACCTTCGAAAAGAGGAGAGGGTGAGATCCCCAGAGTTGTTCACTGCTGAGCGTGGTCTTCAGTCTCCTCCAGTGAGGAGGGAATGCTCCAATGAAAACGCTGTTTTATAAAGGCATTCGGAAAGATTATTTTTAATTAAAATGCTGTAATTGCCGGGTTTTAGTGCTGACTCCAATGCTCTTGGTTTGCACAAGCTGAGAACTAGCAACACAGTTGGGCTTCTCTGGGGAGTTTGGTCTCTTTCCTCTCTCTGCCTTGTTTTTGAGCCACAGACCTGCCATCCTGGGCCAAGAGACAGGGGCAGAACCCTAAAACAAGGATCTGCTTTATTTCAAACAAGGCTTCAGCAACCATGGTTGCACTCAGGCCTCACAAATCTCTCCTTGTATAGATGTTTACTCCCCTCCTCCTATCAGTTTTGCCAGGCTCTCTCTGTGACATCTCTCTGTGCATATCTGGTCATGTTTAATGCAACAAGTCCAAACCTTGATAAAAATGTTAAAGTTGGACTAGAAGAGGCATCTGATTTATCAGCTCACATCGCTTTCATAGACAGACAAGTAGGTTCGTATAATTTTTACGATCTTATCAAGCTACATCTCAAATGCAAACAAACACTATTCATTTTTATATTACTAAGTGTGAACTTCTGTCTAAAAGGTGCTGTAGGAGAAATACAAAAGGCTGTATATAAACAAGGTTCCAGAGTGAAATTAGGAAAGCCTGTGAG